GTTGGGCAGCACAAAAGTGCAATCTGATATTCCTGTGAGGGACTGTTGGTGCAGTGCATAACATGACACAGCTGTGCTTCTTTAAGGTGTTTGCTGACACCCAAAGAGTGACTTCAGCATTGGAGAGTTAACTAGCCCATGTTGGATGTTGTCTTAGTAACGACTGACTTCCACGGTATAAGTCCTCCTTCCATAGCGACATTCACAAGTTTGTCCTCATATTTTGGAGTTCATTGCCATAGCACCCCGTTCCTATAATAAGGAAACAAAGTCCACTTTCTCAAACTAATTAACATTTTGACCTTAAGGCATGTAAGGAACCATTACTCAATCCTGTAGGCCTAGTTTAGATAAATTTTGACAATATTTAAGCAAGAAGACTTCAAATTTCTAACCCGAGTTTGGCAAAGGACAACCACTCAGTTGAATCATATCATTTTAACCAAACTAACTAACATTTTGACCTTGAGGCATGTAAGGAACGATTACTCAATCCTGTAGGCCTAGTTTAGATAAATTTTGACAATATTTAAGCAAGAAGACTTCAAATTTCTAACCTGAGTTTGGCAAAAGACAACCATTCAGTTGAATCATACCATTTTAACCAAACTAACATTTTGACCTTGAGGCATGTAAGGAACGATTACTCAATCCTGTAGGCCTAGTTTAGATAAATTTTGACAATATATTGAAGCAAGAAGACTTCAAATTTCTAACCTGAGTTTGGCAAAGGACAACCACTCAGTGGAATCATACCAATTTGTTTTTCATCTGGTTACCTGACTCAGGCTTTTTGGATTCATCAAAACAAATCTCCATCCGGTCAAGGAACCAGATTACATTCCCTTATTTGTCATTCACAGCTACATGTACATGTACCTTTGGGGCAGTCATGTACACTGCCGTTTTACCCAAATATTTCCCTCAAAAACCAAAAGTCCTGTTTTCTTTCTGATATGAAAGAGGACATCTCCAACAACATGTTTAGATAAGTTATTTCGAAAAAGTAGAATTTGTTCCCTTATAATAGGAACAGGGTGCTAAAGGTAATGAACCCCCACATTTTTACATGGTGGAGGCTCCTCAAATGCCGTTCATGTCACTGGTGCCTTGTAAAGTTGTATCCCGTATTCCATAAATGCCTAAGGGCCTATATTGAAATTACTAAATACGTGCCTGTGGATGACATACTGTACATGTATTTTGCAGGAAATTTAGCACAACTCCACGCTTTCTGTCGTGATTTGTGATCGAGCTACATGTACATGTACGTTAATCAAGTGGTACGTGTATGCATTTGTGCATGCGTGCATGTAACTGCATACTAGTATACTAGATGAATATAGATTGTTCACAACGATGAGGGGGTACTTAGTAACTTCAACATAACATTTATTGAAATCGGGATACAAGGCACTTGCGAATGACTTTTGAGCTGCCTCCTGCCAGGTAAAAATGTGAGGAAAAACCATCGAAAAAAAATTTGGCAATGGCAGGAGGACTTCATACCCTGGACAGTGGACATTAGACACAACAGTTGTAATGTAGACGATAAGACAACATCCACTGGGCTTGGTGGCCTATGTGATTGACCATGGTAGGGCCGCGCATGGAGGAAGGTTTTCTGGAGATGTGAAGTTAGTTCCTTATTCCTCGTTTGACGTTCAACATTCAACATTCAGTGTTGAACAAGTAACTGATATTCATTGTTGAATAAGTAGGCTTAACTGTTTGACATTCGGGGACTACTTAGGATGCACATTCCTAGAAACAATGGAGTGCACAAGGGACAAAAAACAAACTGTTCCACATACATTTGAGGGTTTGTTTGACCATAAAAATCCATATCCCAGGTTGCAAGGAGTCGTCGCTGATTGAAGAGAACAATGAGATTAGATTCAGTGGAATCTCCAGACGGGGTATTTAATTTGGCTGTGAGAAAAGTATGGTGTGATGCATTCACTTTCCTATCCTCATATGGAAGGGAAGAACTCCACTGACAAGGATTTAGTCAAAGCCATTTTGACCGTGGGAAAACTGCATTGCCCTGGTTGAAATGAAGGTACCGTAGCAGGGTTGCTAACGTGTATAGAAACACTTGAGAATAAGTTTAGTTCCGGGCGTGGGCTTAATGTACATTATTTCGATTGAAATAGTTTCAATGAAAACAGCAGATGTAACTGTAAGTGATCATTTTTCCCTCAAATAATTATTTTGCTGTATAAACCTGTCACCTACATTTCAGGGCTTGTTTGACCCCGAAAAATGCCATGACATGGGTTGCCTCTGTAGGAGAGAGTTGTGTGTGTGTGTGTGTGTATAATATACATGTACATTGTACATCATTGTGAAATACATGTAGCATGTACATGTATTTTGTACATGTAAGTAATGTACACGTGAAAGGGTTACAGAAATAAAAAACATTTAGTTTGTGTGAAGTATTTCAAAATAACAATAGATACATGTACATGTACGTAGCCATTTCATAAACATCATCAATTCAATGTTTACCCCATTAATTGTGACCCCAAAATGAATAAAAAGATCTTGTATTTCCCGCCCCCCAAAAATCCCCTTTTGGCCATTCATGCTCCCAGGCTGATTGGATGACGTCATCACCAGAATGATGCCTGAACAGTGTACATGTACATAGTGCACAGTACATGCAGTATTGCATGCAGTAGTTCACGTTGTGTTTGATGTAGCTCGGCCCACAGGCTACACTGTCTCAGTTCAAGGTAGAAATGAAAAGACAGACGTACCGTGTATTTCTTGAACTGGGACAGTGTTTGCCTGTGGGCCAAGCTACATCAAACACAACTTGGTCTATTGAAGCGTGCAATACTGCATGTACTGTGCGCTGTGTACATGGACCATACACTGTACAGGCATTGTTCTGGTGATGATGTCATCCAATCAGCCTGGGAGCATGAACCGCCACACAAAATTTAAATTCAAACAATCAGGATCTGAGTACCAAAATGCCACCAGCAAATATTTAGGTCTTAGCTTACACTTTAAAGGATATTTACTTCCAACTGTGAAATCAAGGGATATCAGTTTGAAAAAAAAATACCATTGTGTCAAATATATTGAAAAAACAGGCCATGCACTCTGATGGCGAGGCTTTGAAAAGAATGAATCAAGCTTAAGAATATGAACGACATGTGCTCATGCTGTACTAAAGAATTGTTCGATTGGCTCGCTTTGTCTGTGGCATGGAAGTTATTTGCTATCTAAAGTTTTGGAACCATCATATCATATACTTTCGAGATTTCAAGGGATAAGAACAGATTCTTCCCTGTCCTATATTCTCAACAGTTGAGACACCTGGAAACCAGATTGGTTGTTATATGATGATCTTGAACATTTCACAAGTAGAACAAAATTGTAAATATTTTATGTAACTACTCTATTGGTTCCCATCACTGCTGAATTCCTTTCAAAGAAAATTCCTTCAACTTCTTTTCTTGTAGGTGATCGCCGATCTTGGCATTTTATCGGTGAGGATCACATCTGATGGTAAGCTTCATCATAAGGAGTATTGTGTTGCATGTGCACAGGAGGCCGTCCTACCAAAGTCGCTCAAGAATGAGGTAAAAAGAGTCAACTTTCCCAGATTGTAGAATCTAGGCTGTATCCATAAATGTCTTTTTTTAAACTGCGTTCATGTTTTTACCAGTACCTCTTTCTTATCCTATTTCAATCACTATCCAACTTAACCCAAAGAATTCTGTTCAGCCTAAGTTTGCTATAAAAACCTAGACTTGATAGATCACTTTAGGTATGTTATTAAATAGTTTTTGTCTACTTACATGTACATGTACATTTTTTACTTGTATAACCTCAGTGCAAACAGGGAGATGTTGGAAAGTGTTTAGTTATTGAGTAATAATTTTTTTTTATTTACTAGTGTAGCCCCTTCAGTTATCAATGAAATGTTCTCCCTTGGGCCCTGGAAGACTTCTGAGCTGGGGAATTTGTGATCTGTTTATGCATTGTTTTGATCTGTGTCAACTGATAATATTATTACATGAACATAGCTACAGTATGTACAGTACTGTGTACATGCACACAAGACATATACTTGTAACATACACAGTTCTTAAAACATGGCCCAGAATTTCTGATGCAAGCAAGAAAGTGTAAATATCTGTATCTGCTATCTGGACACTTCTGTGTCGTACAGAATGGACAGACACTTGAATTCTGATGTCTTTCAGGAGTGATATTTCTCAGCTTTTTAGCTTTTTTTGGGGGGGGTTCAGCATTTTTGGTCACTGGCTGTGTACAAAAGTATAGAAGATTTTCACAGTTCAGCTCTTTTATCCTTTTTTTCAGTTATTTCAGCTATTTTTATCATTGGTCAATCTCACCCCTGGTCTTTTTCAATTACATACAGGACTATCATCCTGTAGTAGACTTTAGCCAGTCCACACTATGTGTAAGTCCAGAAGATCCCAACAGACTTAGTGGGGCTGTAGTTGAGGCATTGAGAGGAAACTGTACTTTCCTTCAGAAAGGACTTGTAGCACAAGATGCTGGGGCTACTTCTCTTCTGGTTGTTAGTGCTACAAAAATTGTGAGTCCTTATCAAGTAATCTTCCGTCAACAATCAGTATTGATGAAGCCATGCAACTTTCGTTCATATCAGCTTGTTTTCTTGTTTGCTACTTCTCATGTACATGTGTGCCATTTCAAATGTAACCACAGTCTTGGGGTTTGGAATATCCTTTGAAGTGAATTCCCAGTTGTAGGCATGGTTTTTCGATTAAAGACTCTTGAGTCATTGTATTTTTGGGAGACTTTTTTAGTTTCATTCATTTGCATGTTCCACTATCTTCCTCCCTAACTTTTTTCTTAAATTTCTGAGTTAGGTGATCATTTGTGTGAATTAATAAAATTTGAAAGAGGTGGGAACTTCCGAATATTTTTTGAGGACATTAATATTTTTGTCTTGTTGGTTTTCTCACAAACGTCTCACAATTCAAGAGTCATGCATTCCACACAGTTTTGACGTTATTTGCATGTACATGTAGATATCTTGAATCTCAGTCTTCAGGTTCACCTTCTACCAACATTAGAATCCAAAAAAAATGCAATGTGTTATTCATCCTTTGAATACCAAAAAGGTAGAACTTCAATATTTCAGCTTTTGTTGTAACTGATAAACATCCTAGTCCTTTTCATGTTCTCATTACCTTGTTCTTATTACACTTTGTAGACAACCCCAGATGTAAACCAGTCTAAAGAGCTGAAAATTCCTGTTGCTTTGATCTCATCCAGTGACCACAAAGATATCTGGGTAAAGTTTCAAGGCTAGACATCTATGAATTACATGTATATGTATACTTTACTTGAGTTTATTTTAAGATGTGTCTCTTTATCGATGCATTATGAGGGCTAAGTTAAGCACTTGAGGTTTGTCGAGTGGTTTGTGTTTCATCTGTAGTTCTACTTCCACCTGTTTGGAAGGGGTTATGACCTGAGGACTATCACTTTATCCATACCAGTATTTGCCTCTCCATTCTGGAGTAGAACTGGATTCTAGCATTTATCCATACTGGTACATTCTGGAGTAGAACTGGATTCTAGCATTTATCCATACCGGTACATTCTGGAGTATTACTTTATCCATACCGGTATTTGCCTCTCCATTCTGGAGTAGAACTGGATTCTAGCATTTATCCATACTGGTACATTCTGGAGTAGAACTGGATTCTAGCATTTATCCATACCGGTACATTCTGGAGTAGAACTGGATTCTAGCATTTATCCATACTGGTACATTCTGGAGTAGAACTGGATTCTAGCATTTGTCCATACCGGTACATTCTGGAGTAGAACTGGATACTAGCATTTATCCACAACGGTATATTCTGGAGTAGAACTAGATTCTAGCATTTATCCATACTGGCACATTCTGGAGTAGAACTGGATTCTAGCATTTATCCATACCGGTATGTGCCTCTCCACTCTGGAGTAGAACTGGATTCTAGCATTTATCCATACCGGTATTTGCCTCTCCACTCTGGAGTAGAACTGGATTCTAGCATTTATCCATACCGGTATTTGCCTCTCCATTCTGGAGTAGAACTGGATTCTAGCATTGTACTATGTTCTTTTTACAGCTCTGGGATAAACTGATTTAATTGTAGCTCAAAGGTGTCCTATTTGTATCCTAACTCTACCAAATTCTCTATTGCTTTGTCTACTAGGTCAGTGGAGGGCAAGTCAGTGCCGCATTGTACAATCCTGACCCACCAATTTTTGATTATAACCTGATAATCATATGGAGTATGGCCATGATTACTGTTATCACAGGAGGATATTGGTCTGGTCTGACTGGTTATAAAATGTGAGTTTTTTACTCTTTAATCCTCCCTCCCCAGCATCCCTGGTAAAATCTTCCAGAATCCCCCAGATTGTGTACGAAACCAGAAGCTCATTGTTTGTATGCAGACGTTTGAGGAACATTAAGCCCTGTGCAAAGTTAGAGAGTGGGTTGCACAGTCTTCTGCAGTGAGCCAGTTTAATATTGTAGAAAGGTCTTTCAGGAACAGACTATTGCATGCATGCTGCTGTTCCCAAGTAGCCTTAGACATGCTTCAGTTTGGACTTGCGTTGTTGCTCATCCTCTCAAAGGGTTTTGTCAAGATATTGAAGTTACTTTGCAAGGACTATGAACTACTAAACCAATGGGTTAGCCCGAGCCCTTAGCTTTATTTCATGAGTAACCTTTGAGTGCAGCACTAATGGAGCAACTCCTGGTATGGCCAGCTAATTCAGAATTCATCAGCTTCAGTGGATTCAATCTGATTTACTACTCAAATCATTAGAATCCAGTCAAAATTCCATCATTAAGATTGTATTGGATTAAGTAAGATTGTATTGGATTAAGTAAGATTGTGTTGAATTTAGTATGTCAAGGACGTAGTAAGACCCTTGAAATGTAAACGCAGAAACTACTACAACTTCTTGCTGGCTATAATGATCTTTAATTAAAAATATAGGTTGTGATGATGACCAAAGCAGAATCTTTCTCAAAGGCTGAAAGACCCTAAAAGGTTATTTTGTTGAGTTTCAGAGTCTTATTACTTGGGTTATTTTTCTTTGCTCAGTGCTAAAACCAAAGAGAGAAAGGAACGACAAGAGGCAGGTGTTGCTGATGGAGAGAGGACTGGAGGAGATTCTGAATCAGATACAGAAAGCGAAGAAGAACCAATGACTATTACTTTACCTATCATTATAATCTGGGTTATTATGATCATGGTCATGCTTCTCTTACTGTTCTTCTTTTACAACTATATGGGTAAGTTAATCATTTGTGGTGATGAAGTCAAAATCTTTGACTTTGTTGGGCAAATATACAGTTTGCATTTTGAGCCGCTTGATACATGAAGGCCTCCAACAATAAACAGAAACTAACAGTAGTACATGTAATAATGATTGTAACTGCCTACCAATAATCTCACAATGTGTTGCCCTTATCCTTCTGTTCATCAAGCCATGGGACCTTTTTAGGCAGCCAGTACTAAGCAGATCATGCCACCACCCTCACAGGTACCCATTCATACTCCACAGGGTGGGGGGAAACCAAGGATAAAGTGACTTGTACCAGGTGGCAACATGTAATTACTTGCTGATTTGAACCCTAGACCAGATACCAGGCACGATATGTGGGAAAGGGGGACCCCCCCAGGTGATGCACAAGCTGTATACCCTAAGGCTATTGTGCCTACTGCACCCCCCCTCAGAAATCTGAAAGGAATTCCAAAGATTCCATCAACACAAAAGAAGACACAATAGAGGGGGGGCCCCTTCTCCACATACATGTATCTTTCATCATATGCTGGACCCTGTAATTGGCAGTCACAAACCCTAACCGTTAGGCAATATATGTACCACAAGGACTTGACATACAAGTGATTATTAATTTTGAAAAATTCCCATTGTGTGCCGAAAGATTGAAGGGGAGTAGTGTTACTGATTGAAAATAACAAGTAATACATGATGTTTTTAAGCTCTTGGCCTTACTGAGTCGGACCTTTCCTATTTATGGCATGATGGAACAATTTTATTTCTTTTCCACTCTGAGGTATGTGGTACAATTTTTGGTCTTCACAGTGTATGTTGTTATCGTGTTTTATTGCCTGGGGGCAGCAAATGGCCTACACACCTGTCTGTTACCAATTCTCAAGTGCATCATGCCTTGCAAAAGAAGGTATGTCCATTTCAATATAAATCTTTTAATACAAAGTATCCAGATTAAGGTTAATTTGGAAAATTTAGGAAAGTTCTTGGTAAACGTACCCAGAGAGTGAGGGTAAAGATGTCAATATTTATCTCTCTCGTGTCAAACTTTTATGTAGACTGATTGGTTGCCATGGTTTTTTTCAGGTTACCAGCCAACAAAATTCCTTTACTAAGTTCCCGACCTTATATCTTCAGTGTTGTATTGGGGCTGGCTTGTATTGGCTGTGTAGTGTGTTGGTTTGTGTTCCGTCATGAAAGCTTTGCCTGGATCCTTCTGGATGTGCTTGGGATAGCATTCTGCATTAGTGTTCTCAAACTCATCCATATTCCAAACTTCAAGGTGAGTCATGAAGATAACCCTTTCCATGTTTTCCTCCAATGTATGCCAATGTTTATCACTGAGTGATGACCCAATCGTTTCTATGTATAAGTAGCAGCAGGACAGGTGCTTGTTGGAATGGGACTATACCTAGAATAAAGTCCAATTAAGAGGAGTCATTAGACTAGTGACTTGACCTCATGTTGAGGACAGGTAATAGATTAATCCATTGTTCAAACTTGAAGCCTTTATATGCTCACATGCGCTTGCCTGTGTGATTACTTGCA